TAGAACCAATTACTTCCAGCACAACATCAGATTTTCTGGCCCCAAACTTTGGAACTCGTTACCCTCATACTTGATAAATGCATCTTCCATTAAAATTTTTACTAACCAATTCAAAAAACTCTTAACTTCTGACTACTAATTGTTAACATTTATTCAATCTCCTCCATCTCCACTTGGTTGCTACCTTTCGCGCGGTCTGTCGGTCTGTCTTCGACTTGTTTTGAATTTATTGTTTTTTTTCCCTTTCTGTCCTGTTTTGTCTTTTTGTCTCTTTTGTTAATCTCATTTTTTTTCCCCTCTTATTTCAGGCTGTCCCTCCACAAGATGGATTTTTCTTATCTTCTCGGGTTCTTGCCTTCTTCCTCTCCTGCATCTTCAATTTATTTTAAATCAATTGTAATATATTTGTCTGATTTAAAAAGGAAGTAAATAAATGTTAACTTGAATTGAATTGAACTTGAATTGAATTGAATTGAATTGAATTGAATTGAATTGAAAAATGCTCACTGAAGGCACTCCCGGCGTTCCATAGAAGTTACAGGCGCGGCGCGCGATTTTTTTTTCCGTACGAAACATTTACATGAAACTCCACTCGGGCCGTCTCGGCTGAATCGACCCGAAAATCTCATTGTAGATTCAGGAGGTCAAAAGGTCATCAGCAGATAAACGTCTACAAAACAACTTCTGATAGAACGTCGCTGTCTAATTCTTAAAAATACATTGATGTTACCATGTTAATACCAATGGGTCGTTTAAAATGACATATAATATTTGATTAAGCTGCACGAGTAATGAAAAGTGTTATTTTAACTTGAGTTACATACTATGACCATGGAGAAAATAAATTTTATTTTCTCCATGCTATGACAATTTGAATTTTTTAGTTAGGCCTGGGTTTTGCATAATTACCTAGGCCTACAAGTACTAAAAACGCTTGCTGGGAAAAGCAAAAAGAGTAGGCCTAAGGAAAAGCGCGTTTTTCTTCATCACTGCTCAAATGAAACAGGGTGTCAGTTATTTTCAAATTGGCAGGCTCTTGATTACAAGGCTAGACCAATTACATGTAATGTCGAAATGATTATTATTATTATTATTTTATTAATATTATTATTAATTATTATTACCTGTACGTTAAGGGGAACTCAGACAATGGAGGAATTAGAGAACAATTTAAAAAACGATGTTAAGGGGAAATAACAGAATATATTCCCCTTTGGCTAGTTATTATTTATAGGAGGTTCTTCATTCAAGCCTTAGGCCAAGGTAATTAATGCTGAAATTATTATTATTATTATTACCTGTATCTTAAGGGGAACTTAGACAATGGAGGAATTAGAGAACAATTAAAAAAACGACGTTAAAGGGGAAATAACACAAAAGATATTCCCCTTGGGCGATTATTATTTATAGGCCTATTAAATAGTACGGTATCTGTAGGTTCTTCATTAAAAGACTTAGCCAATGTAATTAATGCTGAAATAATGATTATTATTATTATTATTATTATTATTATTATTATTATTATTATTATTATTATTATTATTATTATTTAACATAATTACATTACAATGATAGTTTAGACAAGTTCAATAACGCCGGAATGGTATATTATTTATTTAATAATATTTAGCTTATGCACTCTATTTTTCATTTCATGCTGCAATTTTGTCCCATTTTTTCCCCAAAAATTTCAGTCCATGAAGCGTGACTGCCGGTGTCAGCCTATGACCACAGGCCTATATAAGGAGGGGCCTATGTAAGTCCTCAGCCTGTAGTTAGGCCTATAGTCTATCCTCTTTCTCTCCAGCCTTTGGTATTACTGCACCTATCTACACTTTATAACAGGAGGTACTCTGTTGTTGTTGTAGACAATATACTAACATTTAATAACATCCAAGAAGGTCACAGTTAGTTACATCCCATAAATCCTGTCTCTTATACACATCTAGATGTGTATAAGAGACAGACCCAAAGGTTGGCAGGCAAATGTTTCGTACGGAAAAAAAAATCGCGTACGGCGCAACCGATAAACAACATGGCGTCCGGTTCATCGTTGATTGGCGCTGATATTGCAGCAACCGAAGGACAAGGCCTAGGCCTAGCAGTTAGCGATAGTTTTCAGCAAGCTCTGTATACACCAATACGTGTACTTGGTAGAGGCGCATTTGGTGAAGCTGTTTTATATAGAAAAACGGAGGTATCCTACCTGACCTACCATAGGCCTAGCCGGCTAGGCTAGAACTGGTAGGCTAGGCCTAGAGATAGGGTCTGGACCCTAGCTAGGCTAAAGCTAGGCCTAGGCCTAGCCCCTAATTAATAATCGCTGGCCTAGTGTAAGGAAGTAGTAGTACGTTGCCTAGATGAGTCTAGTACTTGTAGGACCCTTAGGAGGTCTAACTAGCCACCTATCCTCCTACTTATGTAGGCTAGGACCTGTCCTTGGCCTAGCCTAGGCTTAGACTGAATAAAGGTTAACTTGTACCCATGCCAACGTGTACCCACAACTCATACACAAATATTCTAACTTGTACACAGATTATGGCGAGCCCGTATGTACACAAGTTTTGTCTAAGATTTACCTTTGTATTTCAAACTTCATGCAAAATGTATTGTATTTTGATTTTTGATTTTTTTTATTTTAAAAATGGCAGTCAAAGTCGCTCCCTACAAAGTCGTCCCTAGGCAACTCTCCCCTCCTAACCAAGTCGCCACCTAACCAAGTGGCCCTCCCAACCAAGTCGCCCCTAACCAAGTTGCCCCCTTGGCTAATATTAAATATTAATAACATGTATTATAGAATATGGTTATTAACTAACCATTTATATTCATTATATAATTTACCGACAGAAAAAATAAAACCAAATAAAGTCATCATCAATTTTTCCCCATTTATGGCACTAATTCTGCATATTTTTATCTATATAACAGGGTCATTCCGTGCCAACTCAACAAATGGGATGGCTGGGTACCGTCTCAGATTTTCTTGAAACTCGGATATAATGTGCACCAACATGTCTGAAGAACAAACCCAAAATTTGACTTGCCAATTCCAAGTCGTTTAGAAGTTACGGCCATTTGAAATTTTATGGTCCTACCCCTTTTTAGCTCTCAATTATGACATATTTCTAAAGTTGGATTTTCAATTTAGCCATATCTTCAAATAGAATAAAGATAATTAACTGAAAATTGATATAGATTAACTTTTGGCTGTAGTTAACAGGAATATAACATGACTTTTGGTATACCGGACCCCGTTACGAAAATATTGGTTCGTAAAGACCTAACTTATTTGGTTGCGTAATTTTTCTTCCATTTTTAGACCCCCATTAAAATACCCAAATCAGTTATTAAATGGGTCTTATGCAACAAATTATTAATATATAGTTGGAAATGTTTCACCACAAAAACTTCCGGATTTTTAACTTATCATTTTAGGGGGTAATCGTAGGTCAAAAGGTCATTCGGGACATAAAATGCACAAAAATGCCTCGTATTCATGGTGACCTTTGACCCTGCGGGCAAGTACGCTTGTTAAAACTTGCACCATTAATTAATTTATATATGATGATCAGATGTTTCAAATATCAGCTTGATGTCTTTATCCCTTCATGTTTAAAAAGCGATTTGAAAAGGGGGGTATATTTTTCAATTTGTGACCGTATCAGTGCGTAAATGTGACAAAGTAAGTTTTTGAATAACGATAATATTAAAAATAATCTGCCTAGACCCTTGAAACTTATAATTCTAAAACAACTTTATGTGCTTATTTCAGGCATGCAGTTCGTTAAGGGATACAGTGTTTCATTAGTAAGATATGTGTCCCCCCCCCCCAAAAAAAATGGCCCAAGTGCAAGAATTGGGCAATAAAATTGTATTTCAAATGAGCATAATATTTTCCGTGAAATCTTTCATTCTAGGACAACTTTTTGTATTGATTTCAGTTATGCAGTCTGTTAAAGGGATAAATTGTTTAATTAGTAAGATATTATGCCCCAAAAATAGCCCAAGAATTGTGCATTAAAATTGTGTTACTATTGATTTCAAATGAGCATAATATCTGTGAACTGTCTAAAGCCATGAAACCTTTCATTCTAATCTAAGACAACCTTTTGTGCTGATTGAAGTTATGCAGCCTGTTAAAGGGATGCATTGTTTAATTTAAAGATATTTTGCCCGAAAAATGGCCCAAGAGCAAGATTGTGCAATAAAATTGTGTTTACTATATATTATTGATTTCAAATGAACATGATATCCATGTACTGTCTAGACAGCCATGAAACCCTTTCATTCTAGGACAACTTTTTGTGCTGATTTCAGGTATGTAGTCTGTTAAAGGGAAGCATTGTTTAGTAAGATATTTTGCCTCAAAATAACATTGTGCGACTATATATTGATATACAGTATTTCAAATGAGCATAACATTAATAGTGTACTGTTTAGAACCATGAAACCTTATGTTCTAGTACACATTTGTATGCTTATTTAATTCATGCCATCTGTTAAGGGATAGAGTGGTTAGTTACTATGATAATTTGCACCAAAAAATCAAAATAGATTTAAAGACAAAGATTAGGGACTGGAACCCAGTCTAACTGATAATATTGTGCTCATATTTAAAATATATGTTACTATGCAATTCTTGCACTTGAGCCATTTTACATTGTACTGTCTAGAGCCATGAGAATTTTGCTTCAAAGACAACCTTTTGTGCTTATTTCAGTCATGCACTCTGGTGGTAAGGGACACGATGTTAAATTATTAATATATTGTCCACCAAAAGTGGCTCTTGTGCGAGAATAGTGAAAAAGCACTGTTATTTCACAATTCTGGGGTCGGTACAATATCTTACTAATTAAAGACTGTGTTCCTTACCAGACTACATGACTGAAATAAGCACAAAAGGTTTTCCTAGAATTAAAGGTTTTATGGCTGTAGGCAGTAATACACTGATAATATAGACTTGCCACAAGTCTCTAATTATAGGTTTTCCTAGTTATATAGTTAAGTTTTGGAGAGCGCCACCAGCGACAGTATATATCGAGAAACTTTTATGCGAATTAGAAATCCAAGAAAAAGTATGCTATGAAACGCCAAGCAAATAGGTAATATGGAACGCCATTGGTGTCAAAATAGATCTAAAGACAAAGATTAGGGACTGGAACCCAGTCTAACGGATAATATTGTGCTCATATTTAAAATATATGTTACTATGCAATTCTTGCACTTGAGCCATTTTACATTGTACTGTCTAGAGCCATGAGAATTTTGCTTCAAAGACAACCTTTTGTGCTTATTTCAGTCATGCACTCTGGTGGTAAGGGACACGATGTTAAATTATTAATATATTGGCCACCAAAAGTGTTTTATGCTCATTTAAATTCAATGGCACACAATGTTATTGCTCGATTGTTGTACTTGGGCCATTTTTTGGGGCAAACTATCTTACTAACTAAAGACTGTATCCCTTAACAGACTGTATGAATTAAATAAGTGTACAAATGTGTACTAGAATATAAGGTTACATGGTTCTGAACTGTACACTATCAATGTTATGCTCATTTTAAATATCAAAATAGTCGCACAATGTTATAGTGCAATTCTTGCGCTTTTTCCATTTTTGGGGCAAAATATCTTACTAATTAAACAATGTATCCCTTTAACAGACTGCATAACTGCAATCAGCACAAAAAGTTGTCTTAGAATGAAAGGTTTCATGGCTCTAGACAGTTCACACAGATAATATTATGCTCATTTGAAATCAATAGTAATACAATTTTATTGCGAAATTCTTGCACTTGGGCCATTTTTTGGGGGACATATCTTACTAACGAAACATTATATCCCTTAACAAACTGCATGCCTGAAATACGCATATAAAGTTGTTTTAGAATTATAAGTTTCAAGGGTCTAGGCAGATTATTTTTAATATTATCGTTATTCAAAAATTTAATTTTGTCACATTTACGCACTGATACTGTCACAAATTGAGAAATATACCCCTTTTCAAATCGCTTTTTAAACATGAAGGGATAAATACACCAAGCTGATATTTGGAAAATCTGATCATCATATTATAAATTAATTAATGGTGCAAATTTTAACAACAAGCATACTTGCCCACAGGGTCAAAGTTCACCTGAAAACGAGGCATTTTTGTACATTTTTTGTCCCGAATGACCTTTTGACCTACGATTACCCCCTAAAATGATAAGTTAAAAATCCGGAATTTTTTGTGGTGAAACATTTCTAACTATATATTAATAATTTGTTGCATAAGACCCATTTAATAACTGATTTGGGTATTTTAATGGGGGTCTAAAAATGGAAGAAAAATTATGCAACCAAATAAGTTAGGGTCTTTACGAACAGATATTTTCGTAACGGGGTCCGGTATACCAAAAGTCATGTCATATTCCTGTTCTACAGCCAAATGTTAGTCTAGATATCAATTTTCAGTTAATTATCTTTATTCTGTTTGAAGATATGGCTAATTGAAAATGCAACTTTAGAAATATGTCATAATTGAGAGCTAAAAAGGGGTATGACCCTAAAATTTCAAATGGCCGTAACTTCTAAACGACTTGGAATTGGCAAGTCAAATTTAAAGTTTGTTCTTCAGACATGTTGGTGCACATTATATCCGAGTTTCAAGAAAATCTGAGACGGTACCCAGCCATGATTTTCTGAAAATTTGTTAAGTTGGCACGGAATGACCCAATAGTATGGTATGTGATTAGTTATTTAAAACGGCACTTTTGCCATGGAATACGCTCTCCCTGTCAGATGAACGGAAAAAATAGGCCTACGTTTGTCATTACCCTTTGTATGCCGCCAATTCATGAATATACGCTTACTACATTACATAAGTGGATCATATAAGATATGCCACTGGGTTTTTTGGGACTGTTGGTGGTAGTAAACAAGCAGGCCTAATGACCGAGAGTAATTGTTGCCTGTGTTTTTAATTAATATGATATATTAATGAAGGTGCAATTTTCTTTATTGTAATTCATAATTAATTTTTTGGTTTGAGAATTTTTGCCGGCCATCTAAGAAGTGCCATAGTCATACAATGTGGTACCAGCCCGAACCATGATGGGGTTGAGATGGCAGTCTGGACCCTCCATTTAAAAGTGACTTGCTGTACAGGGCCCCCTCTATTTTGAATTCCACTTACTATTGAAGAGTAAATCGCTAGATTGTCTCAAATTCGGACAATGAATGTGCTATAATAATAATAATAGATGGATTTCTTTAAAATGAAATGAGCTATTTATGCTGATATAAAAACAATATTTTTATGAGATTAAGATAAAAAAAAAGTTAAGATTTTGCAGATGATTGAGGACTTGAACAACACAAGTATTTAGGATTCTACGCATCTATTTTTCGAGAGATTTTTCTAAATTTGAATTAGTTTTTTTATCGTTTGCAAATAAATTACATTTAAAAATGGCAATTAATTAAGTATAGTTGATTAAAGATCTACCGTAAAGAGGCGAGTTTGTAAGGGGAGAGCTTGTCGAGGGGTAGAGATTGCAAGGGGAGGGTTTGCTAGGGAGCAAGTTGACTGGCATCTGCATCCACTTCATTGGGTGATGGTGACATATAAAGCCATTTACCATTAGCAAACGGAAGCAGAGATACCTTACCGTAACCCTAGCCACATCCAATTAATAAATGCTGAGTCTGGCCTAGCCTCCTCTATAGCTAAGCTCTAGACCTGTTTAGGCTAGGCTAGGCCTATTAATGATAGAAACCAACAAATAATATGCTATGAAGCAACAGTGCTGTGAATGATTTAACAAATATAAAAGTTTTGAGATTAATTAAATAATTGAAAATATACTGATTACATGTAATATAAAATATGTCCAGGTATTAAAAAACAAAATAGGCCTTTGTTAGAAATAGCACTGTAGATATTAATCTGACATGCTGATGTTGTAGTGCATTAAGATACCAAGACGGAAGTTTAAGGTTTAGGCCAGCTCCACCAATCAACACCTCAGAATAATGTAAAGTCTTTAAAGCAATATCTACAGCCTAAAAATAATTGATTGAACAAATAAAATATATTAATAATAAATAATATTAATAATTCTTTATTTATATAGTTACAGACTATAGAGTCTGGCCTAGCCTCCTCGCTAAGCTCTTGACCTGTTTAGGTCTATATAGTTATATATTTAACAAGCCAGCTTTTTTTTAGTTGTACTGTATTAGTAGGACTAGGCCAATGGCAAGAAAGGGTCATCACTTGTGAATTAAAGTTGAATAAAAAATAAAATTAACTCAAGTTGTGGACCCATGTGTTTTTTTTTTCAGGATAACTGTTTGGTTGTGTGGAAGGAGGTAAACTTAAAGCGATGTCCATTAAAAGAACGACATGGTGCTCAAAATGAAATAGACATCCTCTCAATGTTAAATCATGCGAACATTATTACATACTATAATCACTTTTTAGATGAAGATACGCTCTTCATTGAAATGGAGTATGCCAATGGTAATTATAATATTCAAGTTTTCTAGACATTCTAATTTATTAATTGGTGTAGATTATGTTGAGTTTAGTATTATTACGGCTATATTTGGTCATTTTTGAACACATAATGATGGAATAAAGATGAGTGTCAAGTGAGCATGAAGCTCTTGGTACCTATCAAAAGCTAGGTGGACTGAATTTGGCCTAAAGCCCGTTTTCCATTAGGCGAATTTATTCACACAAATCCAAAATGTTGTCACATTTCTATCGGAGTTTTTCGCTTCAGCGAAATTGGTAGTTTGAACTGTTTCTACTTTTTGCGAAGCAAAAAATGTGTGCAACCAATCAGAGCTCAGGAACCGAATCAACGCCTTCAATACGCACGAATAAATTTGCCTTGTGGAAAACCAGCTTGATGCCCTGTCCACACTATGAAGTTTTAACTGTGATGTTCCGATATATGGGAATGATGATGTCATATAATGCTCATATTTGGGAAAACCATTTGTATCTGTTACATAGTGTAGACAGAACATTACTGGTGATACAACCTGTAGATTTAAACCAAGACCATGATCTCAAGGGTGCACTTTTACATTTTTATATACCATGATGAATAAAAGGTGTAGCCGTGTTGGTCTGCTATTATAGAGCAATATAAGAAATGTCAACAACACTTTTAAGACTACAGTAACTATAAAATTTATTAGCTGTAGCTTTCATCCACAGTGTCTCCAGATGAAGTTCACTCTGTGGACTAATACATTCTATGGTTAGTCTTAAAAGTGCTGTTGTCATTTCGTATACTAACCATAAATCATAGTAATTAACCAATAAATAAATGTTGTGTATGTTTGTATTTTAATGAAATGAAAATGTTCCCACCAGAAATCTCCTTTTTTGGACAATAAAAAACCTTGAAATCTTGTTATTCTTTAATTTGTTATGTTTATATTGGTTTCTTTCCTTTAATTTTCAGGTGGAACACTTTATGAAAAGATTAATAAACAAAATGGGCAACTGCTTGCTGAAGAAGTGAGTAAATGCAATATACTTTACTTGATAGAATATGCTTGACTTATGCTATAATACCTGGTGCTTTAGTATTGACCTTATTATTGTAGTTTATTTAATATTATTATACTGTAATGAGATACAGCTTTAAATCATAGCCCTAATGTCAAAATTAACTTGTCATTTATGCATGTTTAACTGAAATATTCATAATTCACTGTCTTGTGATTACCTTATATTTTATATATGTGATGCTTGTGAATATTTTATAATGTACTCTACTTTTTTCTTTCAGCTTGTCATATGGTACTTCTTTCAGCTTTCATCTGCTTTGTGCCACTTACACGAATATGCCATCTTGCACAGGTAAAAAATACTTTTTTTGTCTGAACATTGTATGTCATTGGCGAGGAAACCAAGATTCCAGTATTTAATCATTTAGAACAACTTGATAGTTTTAGCTTGGCTTTACATTTCAATGTGTTTGGCTTTCTGCTGAAAATTTTAACGGGAAAACATTTCAGATCAATCAATTAAATGAGTCTATGCGTTCACATAAAATTTCTGGCAGCAGATCTTTGTAGTAAAACGTCTGTAAATTTGTTGATCTGTAACTTATTGAAAGATTTGATAACTTAGGCCTGTAGTTCTATTTATTAAATGACTAATTCAAAGTTATATTTTCACTTTTAGCATTTTTGCAGATTTTTGATTTTGCAGATGATGGTGTCTTATAATTGGTTGACTAAAGGAATCAAGTGGGTGGTTCTTCTAATCTGCTCAATCCCTTGTACGCATGAATCGACATACATGATTTATTGACTTAATTAACTTTAAAAATTCTCACTATATCTGGTCTCAACAAATATGGAGATTTTAAAATTTCCCAAACCTACCAATTCATTCTTGGTACCCTTGAAAATAATACTATCCATTCCAGTGCATATATAGGTGCTCTAGCCCCATTGTCTTCCCTATCGTTTTTCTGTTGTTAGGAGAGAAATTGTTACTGCCCTTTGAAATATTCGTATCATGAATCTGTTTTCTAAATGAAAAAAAAAAAAAAATGTTGTATAATTCATTTTTAATGAAGAGATATCAAGACTCTGAACATCTTTCTCACCAAATCTGGTCTCATCAAATTAGGAGATTTTGGAATTTCCAAACTCCTTGATACGGAGAATGAAATGGCTGAATCAGTAAGTACCATTGTGGTGTTTCATCATCTATAATGTAAGCATGATAGTTCCAATCATATCTATAAATTCTCATTGTATTGCATACAAAGAAACTACTAACACTGTATGCACATTATTGAATACAAGATTTTTTCTACTCACTAGTGTATTTAAAGGCCAGCCTTCATTTTGGCCACAGTTTTGTGACATGATTGGATGAATTATGCAACCCTAGAATGAACAATTCGCACAGACTGCCACTGACAAACAGCATGCGACGTTGTTTCAGGCAGGTGCTTATTCAGAGCACAGATGAATTCATTGTAGATAGTCAGTCGACGCAGTGCACTATAAATAGTTATGCATACGCAGATTTGGCCAAATTGCTTCCTAGAATACATGCGATGAGGAGAACTTAACGTTCCTGCATGCGCAGATGATTTATAGTGACATCATTACATTCTACCATCGTCATGCACTCGTAAGCTCCCTAAATGTCAGTGGTTGAACATGTTTTTAAAAAAGAGGCCAATATTTCCATTAGTTTTTTTACCCAATGCCTTCAAAATTGTATGTGAATCATTTTTAAATATCGCTTGAGCATGCAGTGCATTAAACACACAAGTTCAGACTGATGAGAAGTAAATCTATATTACATTATTTTGCAGGTAGTGGGAACTCCATATTATATGTCACCTGAGCTTTGTAAAGGGCAACAGTGAGTTTATCTGATAGACCATCGATCTTGCATGCAATTATAAGTTTGGTAGCTGACATTGATCTTTCTTTGCCTTTTGAAAATGACAATGATTATGCTAAATGTACTTGTAGTTAACCTTAATCGTACAAATTGGAATAATTCTAGAAAATATGTCATTCCAGAACTGCTAAATAATTACATAATAGCTGGAATGTTTTCAAAAATGAATCTATTTGAATTGTATTCCATTTGTTTCAATTATTCTTTGTTTGTTAACTATTTAAGTGTGTTACATTTCTGTTCATTACCCTTAATAATGGAATTTTAGCCTCAGCTATACGATAGCTTAGTAATCCATATTTATATTCATTGTTGGACTGCCCTATTTAAGCTTTGATTTCTGGAAATAAGCCCCTCTTCTTCCATATTATTTGTATTATTATTGTTCTGAAAGAAAATAAAGAGAAATAAATATTGTTTTGAATTGATTTATGGTTTAATAAATACTGTATATTCCTTATTTTAGATACAATGCTAAGAGTGATATTTGGGCAATGGGATGTGTACTGTATGAGCTGCTTACTCTCAAGAAAACATTTGACGCTTCGGTGAGAAATGTTTATCTTCAATTGTATGCATAAGAGGGTATAATAGATTACTCTAGCTCTAAATTCACTGTTGATATTACAATATTTTACAAAAATAAAAAGATGGTGCGAAATTCTTGCAAGTGATTTGGGTGTGAATCGAACCAACAACCTCCGGCTAACTAGTCTGGTATCATAACCACTGGACCAACAACTTTGTTAATTGCAGAATTTTTATGATTTTTGTTTGTAGAATGCCTTGAAGTTAGTCTGGGGAATTGTGAAGAACGATGTCAACATTGAAGAAATCAGCTCAGAATATACTGACACCATGAAAACGCTAGTCAGCAAACTTCTAGAAAAGGTATCAAAATAAGTCACAGCTTATCATGTTTTTACATAAGCAGATTATCTCCAACATTAACCTTATGCAGCTGTATAACATCACATTAAGAAACATATTTTCAAGTGTGCATGGATATTGAGTACCACGGTCGTGTCGTCACCATGCCAGTTGGAGCCTTCTGTCACCAACCAAATGTTGGTTACTGTTCATTACGCCTGAATGACTTCATAGGCTTTCTGGAATGCATTTTAAAATCTAATATTTAACCATCAAAATGTACTAAAAACACAGAAGCTCGCATTATATAATCGAACACACATTTAATCATCAATTAAAATTTAAAAAGGAATACTAAGATACAACATCTTAATAATTACATTAGAAATTGGATCAATGGTTTGTCTGTGGAAAAAATGGCATCCGGTTGAACGCATATTGCAACAATAGCAATGGAGTAGTATCACATGGAATCATGACGTAACACTGTAGTACTCTTTGTCAAGGCTGTTATTCAAACAATGGTGTAGCTTATCATCACAGTGAATTAGTGATGAACATTAAAGAGGATGTATACACTTTTAACAAACATAAGCCTAGGATAATTTGCATGCCTGAAGTTAATTTTAACCAGTCTATAAACACAATGTAATACAATTTTAGAAAGCATTTGAATTCATTGTTTTTTAATCTTTTTATAGGAACCTGAGAAAAGACCATCTGCAGAAGAAATACTGGACTTTCCAATTTTAAAAACCCTTGGAAAGTAAGAGTTCATTATTATTATTCAATCATAACCTTTGTAATGTACTGATGATATGTTTATTAACTACCATATAAAGAATATAAAAGATTGTAAGTTAACTTTCAGAATTATTTTTTAGCTTCTAAAAGTCATCTTTGTCAGCCGTTTGAATTTGGTGGTTTACTGACACGTCACTATTGATATTAGTGTGATGACGTAAAGGCTATTGTATATGGATCCGCAATCTTGGTTTAATGGTGGTGCTGTCATTGTAATTTCTTGTGCTTCTTTTATTTTCCTTTTAAAATTAATTAGTCTCTTCAGTTAGAACTTTATTTATTCCAATTAATGTTAGGTCCAGTGATTTTGCAATGTTCTGCTACTGCTGAAATTATTTCTATGTGTTGATTTAAATGTTCTGTGACACATGTATATCTAATAATGTTGCCATTTCTCCCTTAAGTTTACTTTTTGTGGGGCTTTCTGCATCCACTTGGGATAATTGTTTGCCGGTAACACTTTGTGTATGTGGGTAGTTTCTCTAATTTTGTCTTCTTCCCTTATAATGTTCTCAGCTTGGTATAATAAAGAGAGTAACACTGATCTTTTGTGTTCTAGGTGATGGTTCGATTGGAAATTTAAATATTGGTCAGTATGTGTGTTTGTTTTGTTAAGAACATGTTGTGGAGTAAATTAAAATATTTTTTGTGCATTTATATATTTTTCTAGAGAAATGGAGGCAAAAGTATGGGAATTGAACAAATCTGCTCGTAAAGCTAGGCTCGAGAGTTCCTCATCAAATGAAGCCACGCCAATTGTAACTTCGAAGACTAGTGAGGTTAGTAGTGATATAAAAGTGTAAACATTCTGATCTCCTCTTCCAGTGATTGGCTCTTGTGCTGCAGACATAGAGGAGTGGAGCGGTAGCTTGGTGTCCGCTTAAGTTACCCTCCAATCCCATGGTTTTTGGTACTAATTTGTTAAGATTTTTGTGTTACTCTACTCACTAAGGATGATCACTGAGGCAATGTGTGCCTGGCTTTAGATTACACAGTATCATTTTTATCTTGAAAGTGGCACACAATTTTCGATCATCATTGTCATCAAAAAAATTAAATTAAATTTTAAAACAATTAAAATCACTTTAAAAAATCAATCAAATTAAAAAAATTATAATTACCATGTGTTTTGTATAATTGGTTACAGGTGTACTACTGGGGAGGGGGAAGACTGACCCCTCATAAGCTTGACCTCTTCAAGGCTGGTAATAGCGCTGTACAGGTAGCCTGTGGGCACAACCACTTTGCTGTAGTTACCGTCGAGAACGAACTGTACACTTGGATGGTAAGGATAGTAATAGTGATGATGAGGATGATGTTAATAAATATAACTGATGATAAAGTGTTGAAAAAAAAAAATAAAAAATAATAATAATAATAATAATGATCGATCCTTTGTCATCAGGTTGTTCTAGCTCTTTTCTTCCTGTGGAGAATGTATTCAATTTTTGAATAAAACGTTACACAATGAATGAATGATAAAGTGTAAATTTACAGATGCATTGATTATGTTCCAATTAATAAATATACTGACAAATAAAGGAAGGGCCAAGATTCTCAACATTCTTTGGTCATTTTTGGGAATGAAGATTGAACATCATGGCTCTTTCTTATTTATTTATTGAAAATAGTTTATAAATTACATATTGTTACATATTTAATATTATTAATATTATTTTTATCATTTATCAATGTCAAGAACACCCAGGGAGGACAGGCATCAGTAGCACTGTTGGGCCACGGGGATAAAGCAGCATACAAAGCACCCAAGAAGGTTGATGCCTTCCATGGAATGGCAGTCGTTAGTGTCTCCTGCGGAGAAGAGTTCACAGCTTGTGTCACAGGTCAGTACAAAAGGTTGTCTGAATCTGACTACAGCCTCCCATTAACTGTTCGGCCGTCCCGAGGCAAAACAACGTAACTGACATTTTTGTCGATTTTGAGATAATATCATTTGGGAGTATATTAAACACGTCTGAATGACCTGGGAAAATGTCTGGTCTCAATAATGAGTAGTTTCGGAGATAGCACCACCTATTTTTAAGCACAAAACTTAAAAGCTAGTGATTTTCCATGGCAAAACAATGTAACTACAAGATTACGCGGCAAAACAACGTATCTGCGATGAAGATACGTTGTTTTGCCACGGAATGGCTTATCAAAAAATTATCTTGTTCGGATGAAGTTTGGCAAGGCAAAATCAAATAGTTGTTGGTTTTTTTATATCAATATCTTAACAGCGATATATGAACAAGCTGGGTAATGCATATGATTGCCCCAAACGTGATATATTCAAAAAATATGTTGCACTTGCAACATACAGAGCCTGACATGTTTCCGAGGCAAAACAACGTATCTGTAATTATCGCTAATATTCTTTGCAATAAACAAACGGTTGTAATTAAAATTTTACATATAATCACAAAGTCTATAGATGTATAATCCTGAAAAATTTCAAAACGCTACGACAATTTATTGCAAAGTTACAAACATACAAAATTTAACTCTGTTTTTCTCCAAAAGTGAAAATTTCAAGTTACAATGATTTGCCACGGAACGGTCTTGTTAATTGCAGCTATTGTATTGCATATAATTTTTACATTAAATAATTGTTTTTCTTGATTTCATGATTTGTTGGTTTTATTCAGATGATGGAGATGTTTATACATTTGGCTTAGATTATTATGGATGCATTGGCTGTGATATTCAATATGGAGATGAAGTCTCGTACCCTGTGCTTGTAGATTTCTTCCGCGGTAATCCAGTCCAACAGATATCTTGCGGTGACAGCCATGTTGTGGCTCTGACTAAAAAGGGAGAGGTCTACTCATGGGGTTGTGGAGAATTTGGTAAGTAGAATATGTTCAAATGATTGTATATTTCTCACAGTTCTTCTTTGGAATGTTATATGAGCCCATGTGTAATTTAGTTCTTCGGAATGTTATATGAGCCCATGTGTAATTTAGAATACATTAATGTACAGTAGTTAAATTCATATAGTGCTTTATACTGAAGCGCTCGATCCATGGAATATCGTCAGAGTTCATATGCGTCCTTAAATTCCTTGAATTTCCTGGAAAAACAAATGAGCATATTTCAGTACTGGAAAGTCCTTGAAATTTATGATTGTCCTTGAACATCCTGGAAATTTGATCATTTACCATTTATCCAGTACAGCAGGTTGCCAGTGACAGTCAATTAAATGAGAAACGTTCCCACAATTAGGTTCCCACAATACTCTTGGGAGAAGCAGGTCATGTATTTGTACGCCGCCAATTCAGGAATGTTATCGAAGACAATTCTAAAGAATGTCAAATGCTGAAAGTGGCCGACTGGCTGGCAGTGATTCAGACAAACTTCTGCAATTCAGTGATTGGAGTTGTTTTTATTTTAGTAAAGTGGTACTTTCTTATAATTTCGTATATTAATTATGTTTGCATGTAATTTTAATTCAGACATTGATAAACATAATCATTAACTTTGTTGATATCTGCTATGGTGTTTTTATTTGCTTTGTGTTGTGTGTTATAAACAGTAATAGTAAACTTAAACTTCAGTTTAACAGGTCTCGTCGCATGTGCTCAACCCTGTGAATTCGCTTGAGTATTTCATCACTCTCCAGACATGCGTATATAGTAGATTATAAAGTGTACGTAGGCCCACAGCATTATAAATGTCCAAATACAGAGATAAGATTAATAACTAATTCCTAATAATAATAGACCTAATATTAATAATAATAGGCCCAATAGTAATGAATAATGATAAATAATAATAATACAGTAGTATGATGATGTGTAGAGAACTATAGAGCATACGACTAATTAAATTAATTAATAATACAGTACATCATTAGTTTATACAAGTTTAAACATGTACATGTATACACCTAAATATATATGAAATAAAATATGTCTCTGCAACGTACACCCATCGAAGAACACTTTCTGTATATCTATATATGTCAACTATGCCACAGCTGTTATCATTTGATGAACTACAATCGTGGACAGGTGTGTACTCGACCCCATGGCGCCACAGAAGAACCGAGTTATTCTGGCTCGCCGGTAAAACAAAAGACACTGACACATTTAAGCAATAAGATAAGACCATTGTTGTACGTGCACATTTGTGTGCCAAAGAGAGTATTCTACTCCAGTTCAGTCCTGCCTTACTTTACACTGGTACTTTCCTATACTTGTGGGAACTCATTTGAATTTCCCAAGAGTGTGAGAAAAAGAGACAGATCCATCGCCTCCAAATTAGAGTTGGATAAAATTTGTTATACACTCAACTAACATGCATTTAAAATTAGTATAGCATAGGCCTACGTATTTGTAGTAAATCCTAAAATCGCCTATATTTTACTGTTAAGCAGTATGTGTCCTTGAAATTTGGAAAATTTGACCTGGAATTGTCCTGGAAATTTGCTTTTACTGTAGCTTATACAGTAACATCCTTCTCCCCGAAAGGTCACTTCGTGTCTGAGCTACCTGGTATATTTGTGCCACTCACTCTTGCCTGCCTCGCAACAGGCACTTTTTTCAAAAGATATATTGTGTTCTTTATTGTGCATGAGCAATTGGGTACACTGGGCCTATGATTTATGGCCCATTATCTGAAAACCATAGACGAGAGTGCCGCTCGAACCAGTGCCCATATTATTACTGTAGTTTGTGGCATTATTTTATTTGTGCCAAAAATACAAGCTACATGGATGAAATTTTCATATGTCATAGTTATATATGTTCAAAATCGACAAAACAATAAAAGAAATATTGATTATTTTATTTTTAATCGATTATTAAAGTCATTTTCGTCTTATCTCTTCTGATATTTGAAGCGCAATAGGCCAAGAAATGGAAGTTTCATTACACGACACTACAGTTTGTTAATTGCCTGATGGGTGCTGACAGCAATATAGTACTACAGCAAGTCGTCCCAGGAGTTGGAACAAGAGAAAAACTCATGTTTAAGAATATATGCAATCCATTCGACTGTCTTAATTTTACTTTTAGGCAACTATAATGTTTACTAAAATTTGCTGTAATGATTATTTACCAAAAATTATTCCATTCATTCAAACAATTGCAAAACGTTCAATAAAGTTAGTGTAGCGTCACCGAGTGGTAAACAGAAAATTCATAGGCCTGTTCGAGGCCCTTCATACCGACGGCGGCGGTGTCACCATACTCTATACAAAACATTCACTCAGTACTTGTAGTAATTCCTGGCTTGTTTTACAATATTCTAGGTCGTCTTGGTCTTGGAGATGAAGAAGACTATGCCAGTCCTCAAAAGGTGAATATTTTTTCTCAGTGGATTGGCATTGTTATACTGGCGCTGGTTCCAGCTGCTCTTCGCCCAGGGTTCTGTTGGTAAGAGCAAGTTTGCTTGGATAAAGACTTAAAATGGAGGTCCAGTGTACACATTTGGCTTGTGTGCACTTTAAAGAACCCATTGCATCAACAGTAGGGGTGATGATATAGTTCATTTCAGCCCCTTGTCGTTGTGGAACAATGTGAACATGTAGCTTCTATAAGTGCCTAGGTAGTCACTGCCCACTTCATATGCAATTCACCACAACATGACATTGCGAGTTATGGGTAATTCTTCTACCTTTAACTTTATATATTAAAATAAGTAAAACATAAAAATATATATACGATATGTTAAAAGACATTAAAAATCATAGATAAAAATAATAAAAGAGATCCTAATGTAAAAATGACAATCATTAAACCAGTATAAAATGCATATCAAAAAATAGATCTGAAATATAATCAGAAAAAATATAAAAGAAACTGGGTAAAATGTATAGTTCAACATGTTTGATATTTTATCTCTGTGCTTTGCTGTTGAAAATTCTTATAGAACTTGGTATGAAAAAAGTATGATATCGTTCAATTCTAGTATTAATTGTCTTTATGTTATCATTGGTTGTGGTGTTATTTTCATTATAGGTACCAATAAGGGGTGGTCGATTGATTAAGGCAATATGTGCAGGATCAGATGGGACATTTTTTCTGACAGTTAATGGACGTTTGTTAGCTTGTGGAAGTAATGAACACAATAAACTAGGTTTTAACACTGTCACTGCTGGCTTAAGGAAGAGACAAGTTAAGGTAAGAGAAGAAAAAATTTCATATCAATTTTATTCATTGCTCAAGTGATCAAGGGCTAATATGGGGATAATATTCACATGAACATTACAAACTACAGTATTATTAAGTGAATGAAAAAAATTAATAAAAGAAAGGTGCAAAGTATAAGCATTTAAAAACAACCACAGATAAGTACCCCTAGGCAGTGAAGTTAAGTATTAAGTTTTACCAGTCAATTACCAGTCAATGACAGCCAAGTATACTCTTGCAAAAGACAGCAAAATTCAATAAGTATTTGGTTAGAGCTTTTAGGGATCTTTAGGTACTGACTGTCATACAGCAGTGTTAGTTGGGACATTTTTGCTATTGGAACTTACATCTCAAGAGGCAGATTAATATTAATTGTGATGTTGTGATGATAAAAATAGGATTAATGCCAAAAACGTTTTAAAAAAAAGTCAGGTGATGTAGGGAAGGGCATATTGGCTTTGCGTCAAATAAAAGTTGAGAATATTATATATTGTGAAGGAAGGACATAAATTTTTTTTTGTTGGGAAAGTGTTAGGAGTGTTGATAATAATAGAAATTGTAATAAGTCTTAATCTCTGTACAATATTATTATGCTCATAGTGTACTTCAAAATACTTACAAAGATTATAAATGAATTTTCCTTCTACTCTAGGAGTGCTATGATATTCCATGCCAATATTTTGCAAGCATCGTTAAACCTTTGACTCGATACCATGTGGAACGAGTGTCTGCCGGTCAGACACATTCAGCTGTAATTGATGGTATGTCAAACTAACAAACCTATGTCTGTGTGTTCAATGGTTAACAGAATTAGATAGCAGATTTAAAGGGTCAACAAAATTAGTATGTCAACAGAAGTAGATATCTCATAAAAATTAGACAATCTTTAAAATTTATAGTCATCAAAATTTACATTCATTCACAATACAAGTAGAAAGAATAATGCATTTGGTGGTTATAAAGTTCCTATTTGTATGTTTACTGTGACAAATACTTTTGATTTGTCTGTATCATCATCATCATGCCCATATATGGGTTGATATGACATCATGCCCATTATTATTATGGAAAAATTGCAGGCATTTGACAAAGGAAGTTAATAGTGTGGTACAAATAGCATGTTCAGTATGTAATGAAAACAACTTACACTATTTACACTATTAGTATGGTAGCCTGGGTTCTAGACCCTAATTTTGGGTTATTTACTCTTTATTGTGCTTAGTGCACGCCATACCTGATTCATTTGGCGTCCCATACTCAATTTCTTTTTTTTTCGGATTAGGGCCTGGGCAAACACTGCCTGATCATTCATGCATACGATTTAACACATCAAATTTGATGTGTGATATTGTATGCATGACTGACTTTGCAAGTCACATGATTGGCGATGTCTCGACAGCTAAGCTAGATAGGGTCTATTCTATATATTTTAGGTTCGTTTTATTAGGGAGACTATTGTATGCATGACTGACTTTGCAAGTCACATGATTGGCGATGTCTCGACAGCTAAGCTAGATAGGGTCTATTCTATATATTTTAGGTTCGTTTTATTAGGGAGACTATTTTTTAGCCATGCCTAACTAGTCAACGGTAGACGTGACTCAGTTTCTGTACACGTTCGTAGCTTTGAAAATGTGAGCATAGTGATTGTTTGAAATTGTTTATTTTCGGTCCGCCCATTTATCCAAATACGGAATACAAGATTACATCCTTTTTTTCGCATCCGAGTACCAGCATGCAATGTTTTACAAGTCCCTTATTCTGTCTCAGTATTGAGTACAATGCAGTAATTTATTTTTCTTTCAGAATTTGGTCGTTTGATTACGTTTGGGAGTAACAGGTATGGACAGTTGGGGGTCGGTGACTTTAAGAAAAGGTCAACTATTTGTGAAATCACACGCAGACTCGGTGGTAAAATGGTTGAGAAGGTCAGCTGTGGCAATGAGTTTACAGTTGTATCAACATCTGGTACGATAGATATTATTTATAGGCCTATCAGCTACATATTTTGGGGTTTTTTTTGTTTTTAGTTGTCAATACATAATGCCATCAATGTTTAATGAATAAACAATTGGCCAATGAAATCCCTTAAAGAATACCTTGAATGCTGTGTGATACAGAATATAAAATGTAATTACACATAGGGAAAGTCATATTAAATATAGTGAAACCCCATTGAATTGTCTCTCCAACAAGCTGACATACCAGTCAATACGTTTTATAAAACACCTAAATAGATCCCTGTCATTTGATTGGTGGATTTTGTATCATGTGACATAGGTTATTTACCCCATTTCGTCATCATGGAAATTCAGTTCTTCCGTGAATTTTTATTTCCATTAGTGCATTTTCTTTCCACCCATTTTTTCCATTTGACTCGGATCCGCCTCGTCTAATGGAACAGTTAATCTTTCAACTCATGAAAATAATCTTCCCATTGCACTCATAAACATTCATTATTTGTAAATTAATCTTCAGCAAATGTGTATAAACATAAGTGATATAACACAGCCAATGAATGATAGAAAGCTCAGGATTATAGTGTGATAAATATTTTAAATAAAAAAGAAAATTACATTACAAAAATACTTTCCACCTCTATAAAACAAATTTGCGATATTTATTACATAATAATACTCATGGTTTACATTTCCTTTCTAGATAATCATATTTATTCATTTGGAAATGCAAATAGTGGACGTTTAGGTGTTAACATTGATGGCACCTCAACTCAAAGAAACAACTCAATTCCATCACCTAGACCCATTTTTGGAACTTTGAAAGTTGTGCCAGATATGTTTTGCCAACATTGGCATACAATAATGATAGTCGGTGAGTATATAATTTATTAGGCTACAAAGAAAAATGTGACAAAGGTTCAGTAGTTAGGAAATAATACACTCAGGACAATTACAGAAAGGGAATAGCACCATTAGAACCAGATAACAGAATGCATATGAGATCTCAGCGGTCCCAAGTTGGAAGAACTTCTGGGAGGTTGATCAAATGAGCTTTCTTAACACATCTAATTATATTTTGCTGTGAGTGGTTATACCCATTTTCAGCTGACTTACTTTCGAAAACTGATATAGTAGCAAAAACTACTGATCTCCACTATAGCTGGATTGCTCATTAGCTGTTATAGTAGAGATCAGTAATCAAAAACATGCAAATAACCTAAACTTGTGGAAGATTGGATAGTTTTGCTTGAGGAAGAGCAAAAGGCCTTACTGAATTCCTGGCGATTCCTGTGACTCACGGGAGACTTGGGACCCCTAAATAAGACCTTTATGTGGAAAATGGTAACCATTGCTAGGAAATAATCTCAATAATGAATTGCATTCTACTGCCCGCTAAGTGTTCAGGTGGATTTAGTTCAGCCTGTGAACCAATAATGCCCCCTGAATGCCTTTACGAAATGTTATTCTCAAATACATTTATTTCTTTACCAATGTAGAAAAGGTTCTAAATTCTAAAACATTGAGAACGCATAGATCAATCAGCCATGAGTCCCTTGCAAGTAAAAGTGAGTTATATTTTTTTCAATATTTTATAGATGCCTCTGACTTTTAGAGTTAACTGTCTCAGGTACCACCATTAAGTCCCATTCATCC